CCTGCAGGAAGCATGAGTTCGATCCCTGGTTGAGGAACTAATATCCCACATGCTGCACTGCACGGCCAAAAGAAAAAAAAGAAAATCTCTGCAAATGTGCCTAGAAGGACCTGGAAGACTTACATTACATGCTACCTTGTCACATGTCTCTGTGGGGCTGTTCTGCCTGTGGGTGTTTGCACCTGTGTGTGTGTGTGGTATGTCTATTCCCTTTTTATTTTTTTTTAAATTAAGTTTTTGCTGTGTTGGGTCTTCCTTGCTGCACATGGGCTTTCTCTAGTTGCAGTGAGCAGGGGCTACTCTTCGCTGCAGCGCGCGGGCTTCTCATTGTGGCGGCTTCTCGTTGCGGAGCATGGGCTCTAGGTGTGCGGGCTTCAGTAGTTGTGGCACGTGGACTCAGTAGTTGTGGTTCGTGGGCTCTAGCGCGCAGGCTCAGTAGTTGTGGCGCACGGGCTTAGTTGCTCCGAGGCATGTGGGATCTTCCCAGACCAGGGCTCGAACAACCTGTGTCCCCTGCATTGGCAGGTGGATTCTTAATCACTTTGCTGCCAGGGAAGCCCTCTATTCCCTTCTTATCCACTGTTTCACTTTCCATGCTTTCAGTTATCCACAGTCCACCCAAGTCCAAAAATGTTAAATGGAAAATTCCAGAAATAAACAATTCATAAGTTTTAAAATGTGCATTCTAGTATTGTGATGAAATCTCCGGGTGTCGCACTGCATCTCGCCTGGGATGTGAACCATCCCTTTGTCTGGTGTGTACCACCCATTTGTCACTGAATAGCCCTCTCTGTTATCAGATGGACTGTCCCAGCATCTCAGTGCTTGTGTTCAAAGTGACCCTTATTTTACTTAATAATGGCCTCAAAGCACAAGAGGAGTGATGTGCCAAAGAGAAGACCTCAAGTGCTTCCTTTAAATGAAAAGCTAGGGCTTCCCTGGTGGCGCAGTGGTTAAGAATCTGCCTGCTAATGCTGGGGACACGGGTTCTAGCCCTGGGCGGGGAAGATCCCACATGCTGCAGAGCAGCTAAGCCTGTGCACGCTACAGCTACTGAGCCTGCGCGCCACAACTACTGAAGCCCGCATGCTTAGAGCCTGTGCTCCACAACAAGAGAAGCCACCGCGATGAGAAGCCTGTGTAACGCAATGAAGAGTAGCCCCCGCTCTCTGCAACTAGAGAAAGCCCGCACACAGCAACAAAGAGCCAACACAGCCAAAAATTAATTAACTTTTTTATAAAAGCTAAAAGTTCCAGACAATAAGGAAAGAAAAAAATCGTATGCTGAGGTTGCGAAGATCTATGGTAAGAACGAATCTTCTATCTGTGAAATTGTGAAGAAGGTAAAAAATTCATGCTGTTTTGCTGTCGCACTTCAAACTGCAAAAGTTAGAGCCGCAGTGCGTGGTAACTGCTCTGGTATTGAGATGGAAAAGGTATCAAATTTGCACGGCAAGATATTTTGAAAGAGAGAGACCACATTCACATAACTTTTATTACAGTACATTGTTATCGTTGTCTTATTAGTTATTGCTGTTACTCTCTTACTGTACCTAATTATAAATTAAATTTACTATAGGTGTGTACATATGGGACAAAACAGCATGCTTCGGGTTCAGTACTGAGGTTTCAGGCATCCACTGGGGGTCTTGGAATATATCCCTCAGGATAAGAGGGGACTTCTGTCTGTGCATGTCACACATGTACTCTTGGATGGGACTCCCATGCCCTCCATTGTTCACACAGTTTCCCCATGTGTCAAGTGGGGAGTGAAGGAATAATGGATGTGCTGAGCCCACTGGGATACACAGGCAGGTGCAGCAAGTGGAGTAGTTCTCCGAATTTTTTAAAGGAAGACGCTCTGAGGTCTGCTTCCTGAGAAGTGTGACATGTGGGCAGGGCTCTCTGCCGGCTCCCTGGTCCGCCCTGTCCGCTGCAGGAGCCACCTCCTTCCACCAGGTCCAGAGTCTGGCAAAGGTGCCTTTGACCCCAAGCCTACCGGCGCAGTTCCGGTCCGCGCCGGCAGGGGCGCCGGTCCCTAATTTTCTCCCAGGCTGTGCCGCGCGCTTCTAGGTGGATCTGAGGTGTCCGAAGTGGGCAGTCCGGAGGAGGGTCCGGCCTCGCCAGCTTGCGACCATGACCGCCACCTGCCACCCCTTCCCGAGTGGCCGAAGCCCCGGGTCTGCACCGCTAAGTGGTCGCGCCCTAAGAGCATGGCTAGTCGGGGTTTACCACTTGGGATTTGGGACCCGCTGTCCAGACTTGCCTCAGGCTGCCGGGGTTCGGGGGGCGTCCTGCTGGGATCTGACAATTGGTAGTGTGAGACTCGGGCTTCCTCAGACCCCTACTTCATTTAGGAGGGGCGCCCCCGCCCCGTCAGGCCCAGGGCGCGCTCCCCTAGAGAGAACACTTGCGCACCCGAGGCTTTGTCCGCGGACTTTACTCAAACACGAGCCCCACGCGACCACCCTTTCAATTTAGTGACAGTTGGGGGCCAGCACCGAGATCACGTGGCTCAGAAACCTGTTGAGCGAGGCCTGCAGGGAGGGGCTGAAGTCTCCGGGGTAGTGCCGGGCGAGGGTCACCAGCAGGCAGTGGACCAGCAGCTGCGGAGAGGGAGTCGTTTCCACGCGGATGCACCCCCCCTTCCCTGACGGGAGCCCCCTCCCCCGGCGACAGGGGTCAGACCCCGCCGGCGAGCTCACCTGGAACTTGACGGGGTCCACGCGCAGCTTATGCGCGTGCAGCTCACGCAGAGCCGACAGGGCGCTGGGCAGGTCGTCCAGGTGGTCCACGGCGAGGGTCAGCGCGTCGGCCACTTTCTGGCCGTGCGCTCTGACCTGGGCGGAGCCGGGGCTCAGGTCCAGGTGGAGGAAGTAGGTCTTGGTGGAAGGGAAGGCCAGGAAGGTCCTGCGGGAGGAACGGCGAGTCAGGCTGGGGAGGAAGGAGGACGCTTTCCCGAGCGGGCTGAAGGCAGGGGAGCCCGGGGCCTGTGCGCACCTCTCCAGGGCCTCGGTCGTGTAGACGCCGACGTTACTACCCAGCTTCAGCCACAGCGCACGCACCGCAGCCCGGTCCGCCGCCTCCAGCACCATCGTGGAGCCCGCCCGGCCGCGCGCTCGGAGCCTTGATGAAGCCCGGGTTGCGCCTGCGCGTATCGGCCCGCGGTCCCCTTGGCCTCCTGGGTTCGCCGTGCCTCTGGTCGCAGAATCTGGCCCCAGGGGCCCGGAGCGCTCCACGGAGCGTCTGCTCCGACCTGGGGCCTTCCTAATCGCCCTGGACCCTGAGGCCCGTATTTTTGAAGGTTTACTCTATGGAAACTAATATTTAGTATGTATCAATATTAGGTTGCCCTGAATTTTAGCGTGGATTTTGGCATTGAACGTCAGCTTATTCTACCTCCCTCCCGAGTCTATTATGACACCTTTCTGAGTCTATTTTCTCATTTATGGTATATAAGGAAGGTAACAATTTCTTCTTTCCAAGGTTGTGCCTGGTTCATAACAGACGCCCCTTTCTGACAATGAGCATTTATAATGGGTGCCTAGGATATATCCCAAAATAATAGCTAATACCTATGCAGCACTCATGCTGTGCCAGGCATCACTATACATCCTTTTGTTTTTTTTTAATTGCGTTGAAATTCATGTAACGTAAAATTTACTGTCTTAGCTATTTTAAGGTGTACAATTCAGTGTCTTTAATTACATTCAGAGTGTGTGCAGCCATTACCACTGTCCAGTTCCAGAACGTTTTCATCGTCCCAAATAGAAACTCTGTCCCCATTAGCCGTCAGTCCATAACCCCTGCCCTCCAGCCCCTGGCCATTACCAGTCTTTCTGTCTCTGTGCATTTGCGTATTCTGGACATTTCATGTGAATAGAATCATGCAATATATGGTCTTTTGTGTCTGGTTTCTTTCACTTAGCACGTTTCCGAGGTTTATCCATGTAGCATGTATTGACACTTCGTTGCTTTTTATGGACGGATAACATTCCATTTTATGGATAGATAGATCACATTTTGTTTGTCCACTCATCTGTTGATGAACATCTGGGTTGTTTCCACGTTTAGCCCAGGCCCTCATTTTTCCTAATAATAAAATAAGGAAGACTGCCTCTTACAGAGCTCATACTGTGCCACCAGCTGTGCTAAAAGCATGACACACTGAGTCAGGGAACCTGCCATCGCATTTTCTGAGGATGACACTTGGGCCCAGGGAAGAAAGGACACTGCTCTCAGTCGGGGGCTCAGGGCTGGACGACTACCAGGACTGGGCACTAGGGGCATTCTCCATGGGAAGGAAGCACATCGGAGTGCAGGCGCCCACACCCCCACCCCACCCCCCGGGCTCTCTTCTCCACTGCTGCACTGGGGTGAGTCAGTGGGCCTCAGGGTGATGCAGTGGATCCTGAGCTGGGCCCCCCAAATCAGTCCTTTAGACCCTGTGAGTGTCCTGGGGGTGTACCAGGTGAAAGAGGCATATCCAGGAAATTGCCTGGCTCTGCAATGGCACTGCTCACCCCAATTTCCTCTAGACTGTGCATGTACTTGGGAGGCACTTGTTGGAGAGGGGGTACTCAGTGAGCCTCTGAAGAAGTGTGATCTCTGTGTTCTCCCCACCACCCAACTCTGGGAAGAGCCCTGGGAGAGCTCCAAGGTCCTAGGCTGGAGGTCCACCAACTCTCAGCACAAGTGTGTGTGCCATAAAATGTAAAGACAGGAAACAAACCCATTATTTGAGCAAACCCGCGATGAATATGCAAGTCTCTGGAATTCGGTAAAGGGCGGATGTACTCAGCAAGTCACTCCAGGGTGAGGGTGAGGGCTGCCCAGAGAATCCCAGGCAGTGGCAGTGGGGACCGGCTCCGCCCCTCTTCTGTACTGTTTTCCCCTTCCCTCTCTTTACCTGCCTCGGAGAGTTGCTTGGTCCAAGGCAAAGAGAGCCACCCCGACTCCTGGCACGGTTCGTGGACACAAAGAACCGAGGCTACAGAGGCTGCAGCCCACTCAGACTTTATTCAAAGATCGGGAAGTGAGGGTGCCCAGAGCGCCAGAGGGCCCCAGGCCAGGGTAGGAATCGCGGAGGCTCCAGCTTAACGGTATTTGGAGGTCAGCACGGTGCTCACACTGGCCAAGAACTTGTCCAGGGAGGCATGGACCGAGGGCGTGAAATCGGCGGGGAGGTGGAGAGCCAGGGTCACCAGCAGGCAGTGGCTCAGGAGCTGCGGAGAGAGGGGGTGTCAGGGGCTGCGGGGTTGGGGGAGTGCCGCCATGCTCCACCTCTGGAACCCCACCGCACTCTCTGCCTTGCTAGCTCAGATCTCTCCCGACCCGGCCCGCGAGCTCACCTTGAAGTTGACCGGGTCCACACGCAGCTTGTGGGCGTGCAGGTCGCTCAGCTCAGACAAGGCATCGGGCAGGTTGTCTATGTGGCCCACGGCTTTGGTGAGCGCGTCGGCCACCTTCTTGCCGTGCCCCTTGATCTGGGCGGAGCCGTGTCCCAGGTCGAAGTGGGAGAAGTAGGTCTTGGTGCTGGGGAAGTTTATGAACATCCTGAGTGGAGAAGAGACGGGAGAGCGGGCTTAGGCCGGTCGGCCCAGGACCAGGATGCGACGGGGCGACCGGCCCCATTCCCAGCCGGGCAGGTGGGCTGCTCACCTCTCCAGGGCCTCTGCGCCATATTCTGCACTGTGGTTGCCAATCTTAGACCAGGTGCCCTTGACGTTGGTCTTGTCGGCGGGAGACAGCACCATGGTGGGTTCTCTCTGAGTCTGGGTCAGGACCAGAAGCGTGCAGGGCTGGCAGTGCGCGAGCCTTTATGCCTGGGGCGCGAGGGGCACGCCCGATCGCGGGCGCGCTCATTGGCTGGCGCGGGGCCGGGATGCGCCTATGGACCTGGACAGCAGGGGGCGCGCGGCGCAATGTCTGCGCCTGGCTGGGCGGTGCGTGCTTCGCTCCCAGTTTGGGGAGGGACCTGGAGACTCTGGCCAGGGTATTCGCCCTCCCACCGGCTGCTTCCCGCCCACTGCGTCCACCTTCCCCGGAAGTGCTATCCTGGTCCCAGCTGGCGGGGGCCGGTTTGTGGAGCGGGTTGGGTGTCCGCTCTTCCACTCTTTAGAACCCCTGAGGGATGGAAGAAATGAGTAGGTCAGCCCGTCCCACCCACCCTGGACCTAGGCTTGGCACACGCTAGGCATTTTAAATTTGGGCAGAATCAGTGAATGAATGGGCGATTCGGTGCGTCTAGTTCAGGCCAGAGACGGATGCACACAAGACGTGTGCGCATCGCTGACATGTCCTCAACAAATCTCTACTGGAATCCCTCCGGCTGGGGGGCTCCGGGTTCAAGTTTCTTCTTCCAAGGTGGTAGTTGCTGCACCCCAGCCTTTTTTTGGGGGGGGGGTGAGCCGCGGGGCACGCAGGATCTTAGTCCCTCAACCAGGGATCGAATCCGTGCACCCTGCACTGGAAGTGCGGCGTCTTCACCACTGAACCGCCAGGGAAGTCCCCACCCCGGCCCTTTTAAGGCAAGATTTGAGGAACATTTCTCAGCTGATGTCTTACATTCACAATATGGGAAGACCTCCCACAAAGATATAAGGAAAAGACAAATGACTTATGAGAACGATTGACAGAGAATTTTAACAGGAAATTAATGGAAATATCAAAATGACCAACAAATATATGAAGTGAGACAGAGCTGAATGAATTGGCCAGAAGACAGGTAGAGGAGACACAGTTCAGTGAGAAGAGCAGGTTGAAGAAAAATATGCCTAAGGTAGAATAGTATTTTTGACCAAAAAATAAAAAAAGTACAGTTGTAGATGTAGCTGTGTCCCCTCAGCACAGGATAGGAGCCAGTGGGGTCAGTCCCAAACTGTGAGCCTTGGCTCTTTCTGCGGGGGTTAGGTGGACAGGACAGAGGGATTCTCTCTCTCCTTTGAATCACACAAAAAGGGTGTGTGTGTGTGTGTGAAAAAAACCATGGGTGGATTTTAATTTAATTCTTTAGTGTTTTTCTATATTTAAATGAAAGCGAATTGGGCTGTGGGGCAGAGGAAGAGTGTGTGGTGGAGAGGGGGAAGCCACTCCCCAGCTGTTCGAAGAGGTCCTTGTCCAGAAGAAAGTGGTGAGCAGGGGCCCCACCACTCTCCCCAAACTTTTATCCAGCGCTGGGTGTTGCCCTGAAGATGGGGGCTTGGCTGGAGGTGCTGATAGGGTCCCTAAGGGCTACAGGGTGGGTGGGGTGTGCAAGGTTCCAGCGTGGAGTCCAGGGCACTGGCGCGCGGGACAGGGGCCTTTGTGAAGGTTGCTCACAGCACCAAGGCAGAACTGCCGGGAGACCCCACAAAGAGCCTGTTTGTGGTGTTTGTTGTTTGGATCTAACTGTATCTTTTTTTTTTTTTTTTGCGGTACGCGGGCCTCTCACCGCTGTGGCCTCTCCCGTTGCGGAGCACAGGCTCCGGACGCGCAGGCCCAGCGACCATGGCTCACGGGCCCAGCCGCTCCACGGCATGTGGGATCCTCCCGCACCGGGGCACGAACCCGCGTCCCCTGCATCGGCAGGCGGATTCCCAACCACTGCGCCACCAGGGAAGCCCCTAACTGTATCTTTAAGGGGGATCAGAGAAACTGCAAAACAGGGTGCCATTTTAGGACTACCCACCTCGGGCAGAGCCCTTGCAAGTCAGAGCTTGGTTCAGCAGATTCTGGGAGGCCTCAGCCTTAGCTCCCATCCCTCCTCAGCCCTCCCATTCCTCGTTGCTGGGAACCACCCCGACCCCGGCACGGTTTGTGGACACAGAGAACTGAGGCTACAGAGGCTGCAGCCCACTCAGACTTTATTCAAAGATCGGGAAGTGAGGGTGCCCAGAGCGCCAGAGGGCCCCAGGCCAGGGTAGGAATCGCGGAGGCTCCAGCTTAACGGTATTTGGAGGTCAGCACGGTGCTCACACTGGCCAAGAACTTGTCCAGGGAGGCATGGACCGAGGGCGTGAAATCGGCGGGGAGGTGGAGAGCCAGGGTCACCAGCAGGCAGTGGCTCAGGAGCTGCGGAGAGAGGGGGTGTCAGGGGCTGCGGGGTTGGGGGAGTGCCGCCATGCTCCACCTCTGGAACCCCACCGCACTCTCTGCCTTGCTAGCTCAGATCTCTCCCGGCCCGGCCCGCGAGCTCACCTTGAAGTTGACCGGGTCCACACGCAGCTTGTGGGCGTGCAGGTCGCTCAGCTCAGACAAGGCATCGGGCAGGTTGTCTATGTGGCCCACGGCTTTGGTGAGCGCGTCGGCCACCTTCTTGCCGTGCCCCTTGATCTGAGCGGAGCCGTGTCCCAGGTCGAAGTGGGAGAAGTAGGTCTTGGTGCTGGGGAAGTTTATGAACATCCTGAGTGGAGAAGAGACGGGAGAGCCGGGCTTAGGCCGGTCGGCCCAGGACCAGGATGCGACGGGGGCAACCGGCCCCAGTCCCAGCCGGGCAGGTGGGCTGCTCACCTCTCCAGGGCCTCTGCGCCATATTCTGCACTGTGGTTGCCAATCTTAGACCAGGTGCCCTTGACGTTGGTCTTGTCGGCGGGAGACAGCACCATGGTGGGTTCTCTCTGAGTCTGGGTCAGGACCAGAAGCGTGCAGGGCTGGCAGTGCGCGAGCCTTTATGCCTGGGGCGCGAGGGGCACGCCCGATCGTGCTGTGCTCATTGGCTGGCACAGGGCCAGGAGGTGCCAGCCTGGAAAGCTCGGTCTCGAGAGGGTGCGGGAGTGCTGGAGTCCCAAGTGGGCCCCACCCAGTCCTGGGGCCCACTCTTTTCCCGCTCCTGTGGGTCTGGGAGCTCACACACGTTTCCGAGCCACGCAAACCCACTGGCACCCGAGTTTGTCCCCAGCTGGTGTAGCCTCGAGGTGTCTATTTGCCAGTCTTGGAGAGGAGCACAGTCTTTTCCGAAGTGAAACAAGCTGCTTTCGCACTAAACTTTTCCCCAGGATGAAGAGCTGTAAACTGCCCATGTAAATAATGTGGGTGCAGGATGTAACAGGGGGGAAGTACTTTAAGCATCGTACCCACGATGGTGGGCAGGCCCTGGCACAGAGCGGGTTAGCAGGTGTTGTCATGGACAGTGGGGGCATTCCACTCAGCCAGGGTCAGGGCTTGGCATCCAGCAGCCCCTCCCCACCCCCTGCTTTGGACTTGGTCCCCCACTTCCCAGCCCTGCACAGATGTGAGATTATCAGCCGGGGAACCATTCTCATTCAGAGTTTGGAGAGCTCCCAGGGTCAGGCTCCTGCATTTGCAAAGGCTCTAAATGGAGCACTAAGATCCCTGCACCAGTGCTGCAGAGGGAAGAGAGGTTGACAGGGCACGTGTGTGTGTGTGTGTGTGTGTGTGTGTGTGTCTGTGTAAGGTGGGCGCCATGGCCTAGGGACCCCAGAGACTGAGCGGGGCGGCTGGAGCTGGGGTGGGGTTTGGGTGGCCGTGGGCCTGCCAGGCACCCACCCTGCATTAGGATCTTCTAAATTATTTAAAAGACCCAGCGCGGTTGGGGATTTTCCGTCGGATGCATCAGGCTCAGCTCGCTTAGGGACAAGCCTAGTATCGCACCTCATGTTGACGTGACATGGGTTGTGGCCGTAGAGGTCTTCCTTCCTACCCCCACTCCCTGCCCCAGGAGATTCAGAGGAAGGGACTAACTTGGACCAGGGCAAGGCAACTACAGAGTGAGTGCTGGAAGTAGGGGAGAAGATGGGAAAGAACAGAGATGAGGGTCTGTGGAGCCCTAGGCCACGAAGTCTGTTTGGCCTCAGGCCAGGAACTTGCCCCCTAGGCCTCGGTGCCCCGCCTAGCTGTTAAAGAGGCGAAGATTCAGGCTTGCGGCGCCTGGAGTGAGGTAGGGACGGAGACGAATTAGTGTGTGAATGAGAACGTGCTTTGCAAATGGTATGGCACCGCACGGGTGCCAGATGCGAGGTGAAGCCGAAGACCCTTCCCCCATCCGAGCACGCGCTCGGCCCCACCACATTCCCCTGCCCCGGGAGGGCAACTGTTCTGTGCAAGCCTCTGGGTGTACACACCCGGCCCGGACCCCCAGACTGTCAGACCGGGAACTGTCCTCGTTCAGGGTTTGTTGAGTGCCCAAGGTCCCGTTCCTGTGCCCCTGGTTCCATTGTCAGCAAAGGTTGGGGATCCTGCCCTAAGATTCCGCGAGGCTCCCCTCAGGACCCGGAGCTTCTCTGCCCGCAACTGTGACGTCAGTCCGCCTGCTCCCCAAAGACCACACCTGCGCGGGGTCCAGACTTTTGAGGCTTGTTTATTGACATGCGCAGACCTAGACCCGGGGCACAGAACTCAGTGGTACTTCTCTGTCAGCACTACCGCCAGGCCCGTCAGGAACTTATCCCACACCACCTGCATCTCCACCGTGAACTCGCCCTGCAGGTGGGAGGCCAGCACCACCTGGAAACACTGGATCAGCAGCTGCGGGAGAAAAGGCCGGTGAGAAGAGCTCTGTCCTCGCCAATTCCTTGCCGAATGCCTCCCCACCTCGGCTGCGCGCGCGAACCCTGCTACGTCCCGGGGTGGCTCACTGGGAAGTTGGTGGGGTCCACGCGCAGCACATGTGCGTGCAGGTCAGCAAGCGGGCTCAGGGCCGCGCGCAGGTTGTCCATGTGCCGGACGGCCACTCCCACCGCCTCGAGCACACGTTGTCCGTGGCTCAGCAGCTGCACCTCGTCAGGGCGGTCGCCCAGGTGCTTAAAGTAGGTCTTGGTGCTGGGGTACACCGTGAAGAGCCTGCGGGAGCAAGGGTGAAGAGGGAGGGCGGTCCCTCCAGCGTCTGCGCCGCCCAGACCCCGCGAACCCCCGGTCAGGCCCGCCCCCCTCCCGACTCAGGCCCAACACCCCAGTCTCCGCCTCGCTACGATTCTGGAGACCCAGCCCCAACCCACCTGAGCAGAAGCTCCGCCCCGAAGGGCGCCTCGTGGCCGGCGATCAGGTCCCAGACCTGTGCTACTTGGGCGCGCTCCTGGGCGCTGAGCATGGCGTTGGCGTGGCTGCTCTGGGTGCCGCGCCCGCAGTCCCGGCCTCCTTATAGCGGCCCTGCCCGCCGGCGCCCTGCCCGCCCTTATCTTCAGGAGCGCGGCGGGAACCTGGGGACCCTGGTTGCCAACCCAGGTCCCTGTCACCGCGGAGGAACTGAATCACGCCGTGTGTGTGTGTGTGTGTGTGTGTGTGTGTGTGTGTGTGTGCGCGCCTTGGCTGCAGACTTCAGGGGGATCTACAATTATTCCACAGGGAGCTGATGGAGGGATTGGGAGAAAGAGCGCGGAGGGCCAGGAGGTGTCAAGGGTCCTCTCAGTGCCTGAGCTGTGACAACAAGCTTTGAGGAAAGGCCCCTGAGTCCCTACACATACCCTACACATACCCTACGCATACACACAATACGCTGACTGAAGCGACAGACTGGGTGATTTGGGAGGCGGGAAAGAGGCACAAACTCAGGTCTGACCCGAGAAAACGGCGTGGGCGGTCCTGGGCTGTTCTGCTCCCTCCGGTCGCGACTCTGGGGTCCTCAGGACCAAGGACCGCCCCCAAAGCACCCTTGGAGTGACCTCCAGGCCGGGGGTGACACTAGGGTCGGCAGTGTTCCTGCGAAGCCTCCATTCCCTCCCTTCATTCTCCTCCGCTTCCCCCAATACTGAGACGCACAACCAGGCTCCCTCCATCCTCATCCATTTATTGGGGGTCCTGGGTGGAATCGTAAGAGGGTGCAGGGGAAGGGGAGGGCTCGAAGCCTGCCCTGGGGGTCGGGAGGCATCCTCAGCGGTACTTCTCGGTCAGGACGCGGGACACGATGGACAGGAACTTGTCCCAGGCGGCGTGCGCGTCGGCCGTGAAGTCAGCGGGGAAGTGCGAGGCCACCGTGACCAGCAGGCAGTGGGACAGCAGCTGGGGCGACAGGGTGGCTCAGGGCGGGCGCGGCGCGAGCGGCGGGCACCCAGCCCCGTCCCCGGACCCCGCCCCGCCCCGGGCCCCGCCCCGCGCCCACCTTGAAGTTGACCGGGTCCACGCGCAGCACGTAGGCGTGCAGCTCGCTCAGCTTGGAGAGGGCGCCCGCCACGTTGTCGATGCTCTTGACCGCGTCGCCCACGGCGGCCACCACCTTTGAGCCGTGCGCGCGCAACTGCGCGGAGCCCGCGTGCAGGTCGAAGTGCGGGAAGTAGGTCTTGGTCTGGGGGTAGCTGGAGAAGAGCCTGCGGGCGGGGCGGGCCGGGCCGGGACACGTCACGTTTGCACGCGGGAGTTAAAACGTAAATATTAGGGCAAAAAGTGCAACTTGACCCCAATATGAACATTTTAAAGACACACAGGATCGGTATCGCGGACTTCAGCTGTTGCCCCAGCTCCAGTATGGCCCGGCCCACCTCACCCTCACCGCCCTGTCCTCCAGTCATTCGTTCCATCCTTCACTCACTCATTCAATCAACAATGATTGTGGAGACCTGGGTGCTGGGCGCTGAGGGAGGGACACGATCGACCCTCGTCACTCTCCCCATGCCCCTTCTCTTGCTCGCTGACCGCCGAGCACCCGCCTCACCGCTGCTCGTGCTCACTGAACCTGCATATGTGCCCTCCTCACTGACCCTCCTCACTGCCCCCTCCTCACTGTCCCTCCTCACTGTCCCCTCCTCACTGACCCTCCTCACTGACCCTCCTCACTGTCCCCTCCTCACTGTCCCTCCTCACTGTCCCCTCCTCACTGACCCTCCTCACTGACCCTCCTCACTGACGCTCCTTGCTGACCTATCCTCCCTGACCCCTCCTACTGACCCCTGTCCTCAATGACCCACACTGTCCCCTACCAGGCTCCATCCCAGCCCAACTGGTGCTCACCTCTCCAGGGCCTCGGTGCCGATGATGTCTGCCTGTGTGGAGATCTTGCCCCACATGGACACGATGATGGTCCTCTCAGCCCTGGTCAGAGACATGGTGGCGGCTGAGTGGGAGCTGGGTATGCTAAGAACTGGTGTCCGTGGTGCTCAGCCCCCAGGGTCCCCTTATATATGTGGAGCCAGGGTGGGGGCCAGGCTGTGGTCATCGCTGGGAGAGGGGAGGGGGCCATGGGGGGTGGGTCTCTTATCAGATCCAGTGACAGTGGGCAGTCAGGGCCCGGTGGGCCTGGTGGGGTGAGGGGCTATCACTCCGGCTGCCCTTGCTGGGCCTTAAAGGGGGCGTTGGCCGCAGCCTGACCAGACTCCAGGGGAGATAGGGGCCCAGGCAGCCCAGTGCTGCACTGCCCTTGTCCATTTCAGAATCACAAAATGGGAGAAGCCAGAGGAGCAGTGCCCACACACCCTCCTCGGCTGGCCTGTGCCCGTGCTGCCTGCATTGCTCCTCGGTGGGTCCTGTGGCTGGACCCACATGCCAGCATCCCCCCCGCACCCCCCTCCCCCACAGACACTGGCTCTAGGATCCCTGGGTTTCCTCCAAGAAAGCAATGGTTTTGCCAAGTGGGCCCTGAGGAGGGAGGTACTGACTGGTTCTGTTCCTGAAAAGCTGGAGGAGGTGGCTGGTCAATAAGAGAATCCTAATGTCATGTGCTTTTGGGGACTACTCTGTTGCTCACCACGTTATTATTTCAACATACAATACAGTTGATTTTTTTAAACGTACTGCTCTGTGAATTTTGACATGTGTGTAGATTTGTGTAACCCCACCACAGTCAGGACACACAACAGTTCTATCAGCCCCAAAACTCCCACAGGCTGCCCCTTTGCAGTCTCACCTTCCTCTGTCCCCTAAACCCAGACAACCACTATAATTCTGTCTTTTTCAAGAATATCCTATAAATGGAACCATACGGCATGTCATCTTGTAGGACTGGCTTCTTTTACTTAGAATAATACCCTTGAGATCCATGCATGTTATTGCCGGTATCAGTAGTTGGCTTCCTTTTATTGCAGAGTAGTACTCCACGGTACTAATGTTCATTCATTCTCCCACTCAAACATGTGGGCTTTTTCCAGTTTGGGGCTATTACAAATAAAGCTGCTATGAACATTCTTGTGTAGGTCTTTATGTGAACATAAGTTTTTATTTCTCTGGGATGATACCATATCTAGGAGTAGGATTGTTGGTTCATGTACTAACTGTATGTTTAACTTTGTAAGAAACCACTAAACTGTTTTCCAGAGTGGCTTTACCGTTTTGCATTCCACTCAGCAATGAAGGGAAGTCCTAGTGTCCGTGCATCTTTGTCAGAATCTTTACATGTTAGTCGTTCTGATGGTTGTGAGAAAATATATCATTGTGGCTTCAATTTGTGTTTCCCTGATGGCCAGTGATGTGCAGCATCTTTTCATGGGCTTATTTGCCATCCATGTATTCTCTTTTTAATTTATTTATTTATTTATTTATTTATTTATTTTTGGCTGCGTTAGGTCTTTGCTGCTGTGCACAGGCTTTCTCTAGTTGTGGTGAGCAGGGGCTACTCTTCATTGCGGTGCATGGGCTTCTCATTGCGGTGGCTTCTCTTGTTGCGGAGCACTGGCTCTAGGCATGCAGGCTTCAGTAGTTGTGGCTCGCGGGCTCTAGAGCGCAGGCTCAGTAGTTGTGGCGCATGGGCTTAGTTGCTCCGCTGCATGTGGGATCTTCCTGGACCAGGGCTCGAACCTGTGTCCCCTGCATTGGCAGGCGGATTCTTAACCACTGCACCACCAGGGAAGTCCCATATATTCTCTTTGGTGAAATATCTCTTCTGGTCTTTTGACCATTTTAAAATTGGGTTGTTTGTTTTCTTATTGTTGAATTTTGAGAGTTCTGTATATATTCTGGATACAATCATTTGTCAGATATGCAATTTGCAAATATTTCCTCCTAGTTTGTAGCTTGTCACTTCATTTTCTTAATAGTGTCATTTGCAGAGCCAAAGTTTTATTTTTTATTAATTAATTAATTTATTTTTTTGCGGTACGCGGGCCTCTCACTGTTGGGGCCTCTCCCGTTGCGGAGCACAGGCTCCAGACGCGCAGGCTCAGCGGCCATGGCTCACGGGCCCAGCCACTCCGCGGCATGTGGGATCTTCCCGGACCGGGGCACGAACCTGCGTCCCCTGCATCAGCAGGCGGATTCTCAACCACTGCGCCACCAGGGAAGCCCCAAAGTTTTATTTTTGATGAAGTCTAATTTATCAAGTTTTTCTCTTAAGATTCATGTTTTTAGAGTCATGCCTGAGAATTCTTTGCCTAATCCCAGGTCACAGAGACTTTATCTATGGTTTCTTCTAAATGTTTCATAGTTTATATTTTACACTTAGATCCATGATCCATTTTGAGATAATTTTTGTATGAAGTGTGAGGTTTATGTCCAGGTTTTTTTTCTTTGCCTATGAGTGTTCAATTTTTCTAGCACCTTTTGTTGAAAACACTATACTTTCTCTATTGAATTGCCTTCTCTAATTCATTTGTAAAAGATTAATTTGACATATTTCTACAGGTCTATTTCTGTACTCTCTATTTTGTTCCATTGATCTATGTGTCTATCCTTCACCAAAATCACACTGTGTTTATTACTGTAAACTTTATGTTCGGTCTTAAAATTAGATCCTGTCCCAAGAATGGGAGAAAACATTTGCAAATCATACATCTGATAAGGGACTGATCCACAATATAAAAAAACTTACAACTGAAAAATAGAGACAAAAAACTAATTGAAAACTGGGCAAAGGACTTTAATAGACAATACTCTAAAGAAAACATACAGATGTCCAATAAGCACATGAAGAGGTACTCAGCATCGTTACTCATTAGGGAAATGCAAATCAAAACCAAACAGAGCACACTCACTAAGATGGCTATAATCAAAACCCCTAACCCTGAACTCTAACCCTAACCTTACCTACACCTATTAGAATGGCTATATTTAAAAGACAAATAACAAGTGTTCGTGAGGAGGTGGTGAAATTGGAATTTTTAGACACTGCTGGTGGGAATGTAAAATGGTGCAGCTACTGTGGAAGACAGCCTGGCAGTTCCTCAAAAGGTTAAACATAGAGTTCCCATATGACCCAGCAATTCCATTCCTTAGTATACACCCAATAAAATGAAAACATACATCCACTCAAAAACTTGTACTGTGTTCATAGCACCAACCACTATTTATAATAGCCAAAAAGTGCAAAAAACCCAAATGTCCTTCAACTGATGAATGGATGAATCAAACATGGTATAATCTATGCAATGGAATAGTATTCCATCAAAAAAAGGAACAAAGTACTGATACATGAATGAACCTTGAAAAAATACATATTGTGGGACTTCCCTGGTGGCACAGTGGTTAAGAATCCACCTGCCAATGCAGGGGACACAGGTTTGATCCCTGGTCTGGGAAGATCCCACATGCCGTGGAGCTAAGCCCATGTGCCACAACTCCTGAGCCTGTGCTCTAGAGCCCACGAGTCACAACTACTGAAGCCCACACACCCTAAAGCCCACATGCCGCAACTGCTGAGCCTACATGCCACAACTACTGAAGCCCATGTTCTCTAGGGCCCATGTACTGCAACTACTGAGCCTGAGTGCTGCAAATACTGAAGCCCGCAGGCCTAGAGCCAGTGCTCCACAACAAGAGAAGCCACCACAATGAGAAGCCCACGCACCACAACGAAGAGTAGCCTCTACTTGCTGCAACTAGAGAAAGCCCGAATGCGGCAACAAAGACCCACCACAGACAAAAAAAAAAAAAAAAATTAAAAATACATATTGTATGATTCCATTTATATATATGTCAAGGACAGGCAAATCCTTAGAGACAGAAAGTAGATTAGGTTGTCTGGGGCCGGGGTAGTTGGGGGGTGTGACTGCTAATGCGGATGGGTTTCCTTTTGGGGTGATGCAAACGTTCTAAAATTGTGCTGATGGCTGCATAACTCTCTGAATATACTAAAACCCGCTGAATTGCACACTTTAAATGGGTGGAATATATGGTATGTGAATTTTATCTCAATAAAGGTGTTAAAAGACTGGGTGATGTCATTCCTCCCTCATTATTCTTTTCCAAAATGGTTTTGGTGATTCTGGTTCCTTTGCCTTTCCGTATGAATTTTGGAGTTAGTCAAAGAGTTATCTGCACAAAAGCCTATTAGACTTTTTACAGAATGGGTAAACGTTTCCCGCGTGGAGAGTTCTGATCACAGATATTTTGCTGAACTATTCTTAGAGAAAATTGTGAGGCTCAGACAAGCCCTCTGATTGGAAAATGTGTACAAGAATAAGCAAGGATCGAGCACCTTCTGTATGCCAGACACTGTGCTTGGCACGTTATTGTGCCATGATGTTGGTCTCTTCTACGTCCAAGCCGGGCTTGATGGGAGTGTGGAGGTTTGAATGCAGGAGCTGAGTCCAATGGATACCTCCCCACTGCTGAGCAGAGAGGGCGGGGATCTCACCTGGGCTGTTGGTGCCTGTCTGTGGCCTGGAGGTAGAGTCTGCCTTCATGGAAGCCCCTTCCCGGTCTCTCCCTACTTTCATTTCACAGCTGTGCCCCTCTTCTCCTGTGACAGGGTCACCCTCTCCCAGGGAGGTGCCCACCCTCCACTGGCCTTAGGCTTCTTGCTACCTCTCCTGGCAGTGCTGACTCCAGGGCCCCAGGTGTTCACAGGGAGTGTGGCTTTGTCTCTCTGGGTTCATTCCAGAATGGGATGAGCCTGGTCCTCCCCAGTCACCTCTGGCTGTTGCTTCGTTCAGAAGGAAACTCCAGGGCCACCACCAGCATATGGGCCTTCCGTAAGGGTATGTAAGCCTGATCCTGAGGCTTCAGCTCCTAGAAAGGAGAGGTGTCAGCAGGGAGACAGACAGAGACAGATGGACAGACTGGCAGAGAAAACAGACTGAGCGAGGGAGACAGAGGAGGCTGAGCGCCAGGTGGAAGGTCACGCAGAGGGAGGGAGTCTGGAGGTCCTGGGTGAGGCTGGAGCTGGCCTGCCATGTGAAGGTATTAAGTCTGCCAGAGGGGGAGGCACAGTAGGGTCTCAGT